AGCATCAGCAGAAAGTATTACTGAAGAATTAGTTGCTTTGCTTATTAAATTACATTAATTATTAACTTGAAGTTTCCTTTAACCTCTGATTTCTTTTACCAATGGTAATAAACAAATATGTGGAGTTATTTTTGAATTTTATTTATGGATTTTTTTTTTCGTTTAAAACGCATAAAAATGCAGTACAAAAACAACGCATTTCTTAAATATAGCTAAATTTCTTTCTAAACATGATTTTGAATTGCGAGACACTTTTGAATCTCGCAAATTTGCAAGAATGAACCTGCGTATTGTAGTGGTATGCGTCTAACCAGTATATTATTTACCTGTGTATTGTAGCGGTATGGGTCTAACAGTCTAACCAGTGTAATATTTAGTTCGCATCAACTTGTTGTCATGCTAACAGTATCGCAGTAAAATTGAGAAAAATGGGTAATTATGAAAAAAAATCAAAGTAAACTACAAAAACTAATGGATGATATGTTGTCAGATGTAAAGGTGTTTAAGTATTGAAAGTGTTATCAGAAACTTTGAGTGGGATAGTGATACAACTGATGAAATACCTAGTGCTTCCACAGTGTTGAACTGGAATGAGGTTACCGTGAATAATTTAAAACATTTCACTGTTTCCCAGCAAGGGTTGAATATAAATAAAAATATCTCAGGTATGCTTGATAACCAGCCTATTGATTTTTTTACTGTTTGTGGATGACGATATCATGAATTCGATAGTACAAGAAACCAATAAATACGCTTCACAAAAAGCAGAAAAAACGAATTTACTTCAAGCTCGGATTCGACAATGAAACGATACTACTACTGACGAATTGAAAATATTTTTGGGTATACAGATTTGGATGTGATTAGTTTAGATGCCTAGTGTGACATCGTATTGGTGTACGAATATCTTATATTCAAACGAAATAAAATTGTTAAAGTCCAGAAACCGATTTAAGCTTCTCTTGAGCCACTGGCATTTTTCTGATAATAAAATTACAGATACTTCACACAGACTTTACAAAAACAAACCCATTCTAAATCATATTAGTCAAAAATTTCAAAACTCAGTAACTCCTTTACGTAATGTTTGCGTAGACGAAACCCTCTCTTGTGCTTTTTCGAGGACGTTTTTGTTTTCTACAATATATAAAAAACAAAAGACACAAGTTTGGAGTAAAAGTTTTTAAACTCTGTCTTGAACAATTTTACACGTACGATTTCAAAATATATTGTGGGAGAGAAAAAAATATTACTTCTGACAGCGTACCAACGTCGATTGTTATGCGGCTGTGGTCAAACCATATCTATTATACCAGTATTAAACTTGCTCACAAATTGCTCGACAGACAAACTCATCTAGTTGCCACCTTAACAAAAAATCGGAAGGGAATCCCAAAAGACAAAGTACAAAAAATTTTTAAAATGGCAAAGTTATTGCCAGAAAAAGTGATTCTGAAGTGGTGATACTGAAGTGGTGTGATAAACTTGAAGTTTTGATATTGTCAACAAAACACAAAAATAAAATGGTTACTTTCAAGACCAAAAATGGAACTGAAAGAAAAAACTAACAGCTATTAGAGACTATAACCAAAACAGAAGTTTCATTAATCTCTCTGGTCAATTCAAAGCCTACTCTTCTTGCCTCAGACGTAGCCTCAAGTGGTATCGCAAATTGGCAATAGAAATTCTTTTAGGTTCGTACCATATAAACAGGTTTATGCAAAACGTTTATACTATATAAACAGGTTACTGGTAAAAATATCACAATTACCCAATTTAGAGAAGACATTGCCAAACACTTGCTAAAAATCCTCCATTGGTAGGGAGCCATCACATTCAGGAAGTGGCAACCTGACTTACCTGGCGAAAAACAGAAACCGACGGTTTGTCTCTAGCTGAATTTTATGTAAAAGTGTAAACTAAATCAATTCACGGTACGCATTGCATCGTAACTATGGACAACTGGTTTACATCGGTTTCTCTTGTTGACCAATTGTTACACGATCTCTACAAATTAACCATGATAGGAACCATGCCTATAAATAAGAAGGAGATTTCTAAGTCGCTCTTAAAACTTCGCTTAACCAATCGTAGACTATAGCGTAGTATCATAGACACTACACAAAAAATAATTAAGAGGAGGAAAATGGCAGCATTGTGCTTGTTATCCTCATTATTTTAAAAAAAAATTTAGATGAATAAATTATTTGTTAATCGTGCGAACTATTTATTATGACACGAAATTGTTTAATGTCATTGATGAGGATGATTATAAAAACTATCTCAGAATGGACCACTTCACTTTTTCGCTGTTGCCGGAAAAATTTGGTCTACTCATTTTCAATAAAGGTACCCTCATGCGTGAATGTGTCAGTACTGAACAACGCCTTGTTGCAACTTTAAGCTTTCTGGCAACTGGAGGGTCATTTTAGGATCTGAAGTTCAGCTGTCAAATATCTGCACAACTATTGAAAAGGTAATACCAGAAATTTGCAAGACTATAATAACTTTTCGTGCAATTAAAAATTATTTTGTATTTAACAATCGTAAAATAGTTTCGAATAGTTTCTCATTTTATTTTGTATTTATTTGCAAACTAGGAATCTTTGCTCAGCGATGTCGGACAGACAGCACCAATTAGGATTTTGTTTGGAGCTGATGTAAGCAAATTGTATACAGGGAAGAAATATCAGTTACAAAGTGATCTTGTGGTAAATTTATTCCTGTAATAAGGAATAAGCCACAATATGAGTTAGAAATTAAATGTATTTGACTTTTGGACTTCTACTTCAAAAATCATTATCAAAAGGTTTAGAAGTTGAAGTCGAAATGTCAAATAAATTTAATTTCTAAATATTATTCAGGCTTATTTCAAATTAAAATAGTAAATTTGCATAAGATACCAAAGAAAGAACAATATTCAACCAACTGTTTAGAACAATATTAAGAAACAGTTACTTCTAATTTCAGTACAACTATGATTTAATTTTCGTTGTTTGTTGATAATTCTTCTGTAGCCAATCCGGAGTGTTAAAAATTGTACCAGTGTAGGAGTGTCCGAACTAGGTCTACAGAAAGGAAAATGATTTGCCCTAACAAAAAGTAGATGATGATAAAGAATTGTGTAATAGGGATAATTTTCGAGCAAAAGCAACTCTATTTTCTATTAAATTTTTGTAAACTAGGGATCTTTGCGTAGAGTAATTCATAGAAATCTTCATACTTCGTCGCCAGTCGGAAGTGAGACCTTTAAGTCGTCCCTCTGGCTGTTCCGACTTGTACCACTAGTTTTCCAACTGAACAAACCAGCTCACCCACAGTCCGATTTCAGATCCAAATTAGTTAGTTCAGTTAATTAATTTCTTCAGTTAAAAAAACGTTTCTTGGCTTAGTTCAGATGCCTCTGAAAATGCTCTAGGAAGCGAAAGTACTTGGGCAAGATTTAATTAATAAAACTGTGCTCGATATCTGCCGTTTATTTGATCAAAGTGCATTTATACGAGCATTCAACCTTATATCAATCAAACTTATAAATTATAGCAATGTTTTAGAGGCTATAACTTCGTTTTTCAATATCATTTATACCAGAGGACAACTACCTAATATTCTAGTGTGTCTAATTCACTGTTTATAGCTCTAACTAAGAAGATAACAGCAAAAACCTGTGCTGATTATAGAACCATCAGTTTGTTAAACCACTTATTGAAAATTTTTCTGAGCAAATTTATATTGGAATTAAACAACATTAGTTTTAGTAGATGGTGTGGAATCACAGGCTCTCAATATTAAAAGAGGAATACGGCAGGGATGTTTCTTGTCGCCCTGCTATTTAACCTTTACTCCGAAAGAATTTTCAGAAAATCTGTTTCTGAAAAACAAAAAGGAATACTTGTGAACGGTGAAGTCATCAATAATTTGCGATATGCTAATGACACAGTACTCCTAGCTTGTGGTCAAAGAAGATCTGCAAACACTACTTGATAGTGTCGTTGAGAGTTGTAGGGAGGCCGGTCTGGATCTGAACATACGGAAAACCAAAATACTCGTAATCAACAGCATATAAAACTGTCTATATATCAAAATAATACCAAACTTGAGCAAGTTGATAAAATCGTTTACATTGGACAGCAATTACATTGTAACGGAGAAAGTCACGGCGAAATTAAATCTAGGATAGAGCAGGCTAGAGCTGCTTATAGAAGGAAGTCCAAGGTGTTATGTAACAGAGGCCTAAAATTGGCATTGAGGATCCGCCTACTTCGCTGCTACTTGTTCTCGGTCTGACTTTATGGTGTCGAGTCCTGGACTGTGAATAAAATCGATCTTAATCGCCTTGAGGCAAGACTACTGAGATCATAAAAAGCATCAAGCAGAGAAAGCTGGAGTATTTCGGACATGTAATGTGAGGTCCCAAATATAGGTTACTACAAAATATCATCCAAGGAAAAATAGCAGGCAAACGCAGTCCGGGGCGAAGAAAAACCTCATGGTTGAAGAGCTTTGCGAGATTGGTATAGTGTTGATACAAGTATGCTATTTAACGTTTATTCCACATCAACGTTGTGGAAGGACATGGTACATAAAGAAGAAAGAACGGCAAACCGAGGAAAATGTGCATAACACCACCCCTGCTAAAGTAGAAACGCCTAAGGACTTTGGGATGTCGCTTGAAGCTTGACATGGTCAGAGAGGTACCGTTTCCACTAGTATATAGAAGCCGATGGAAAGAGATAGTGGCTCGTACGGTAGCCTCGGTAGGTACATCACGACTCTTAATAATGAGAAAATAATAGAAAGAGAATAATTTGATTCAGCAAGTTTAAATTTTATTTGTGAATGTTCACAAATACATATGGCAACGTTGTTTTAATATTATTAATTGTTGGTATTTTAAACCAATTTTTAATTACATATACCTATTAAAAATAACCTATTTTCCTGATAACAATAATTTATATGATCGATATAACTTTTAACATCAGTGATTTTTAAATCATTTTGTAGTTATCTTGTGACCACCAAAGTGAAAATATGCGTTACTTTGTGGTCTCATTACTACTTGCATCCATTTTGGGATGTTATGCTGATGACTTGAAGAGTATTGTTCGGGGCAATGATAAGTTTACAGTATATACATATGAGGTAAAATAGTTCTTTCATTATTTATTAAAAAATGTAGTGAGTTATTAATTTAAGTTTTTGTTGTTTTCTTTCATTGACATATGAAAACCGAAAAAGTCTTCACATTGAACACTTCTTCTTTTTCTTCTTCGTCTTCTTGACTTACTGCACAACAGTAATGTAAATTTTCGTTAATTTTAAATACTTGTACTGATTCTTTAGTTTAAATATGAATACCAGGTAATTTATACTCGTTACTTTCGGTACTTTTTAGACTTTAGTTAGAGTACAATATTTGTGACTTAGTGACTTGTGATACTGATTGGTATTTAAAAGGTAATGGTAATAGTCCTCGATACTTATAATAAATATACTATATAAAAATAATTTCAACTTACCACTATTGGTAGTGAGCCAGTAACATATCAACGATACATCGATGGTTAAAAAGACAAATATTGTATGTCCAAAATTGATGTTTTCAGCAATATCAATTTGAAAGTTTGTGTTAACCTTGACAAACCGTACATCTTTTAAAATGTTTCTAACTACTGTTGTTCATGTTACACCTTGTTTCATACATTTGTTAGTTCTATTTCTATTAGGGTTAAATTTTAATCACATTTAAAAAGCTAAAAGTAACCGTCTGTATGGACATATAATACATGTGAAGTGGAGTTATGGTGATTTCCGTTCTGCAATTGTGAAAATATCCTAAAATCGGGTTTAGAATAATACTAGAGTACAAATGAAATTTTTATTTACTAAAAAACGCGCATAAAGTCAAACACAAATAAATCTTAGTCTGTTTTGTATTCAGAATCACTTGGAACAATATCTTTAGCATGTACGGATGTAGGTACTGTCTCTACAAAGTTTATGCAGTCTTCTGAAATTACCTTCTGGCGTAAGACACACAGAAGGTCATACTTTTTTGGATTGAATATGGACAAAAAACTGTTATACTGTTGTTTAAGATGTATATTATGGACATTTTCACACTGTGTGTGCTGTCGTTCTGCGTTCTATTTTCTATGTCGCCTACGTTCAATTTTAAAAATTCGTTACTTATAACATCATACTTAAATAAAATGGTTTTCAGATTTGTCTTTGTGAAACGTAAACATTTAATTTTCAGTCATTTTACTTGATTTTCATTGGTGTCACAGATAATATTTACCACAATCTTAGACGCTAACTTCCTAAAATTATAGAAATCGGAGTATGTGAGATGGTTAACAATGTAGGGAGGAAGTTACATTTGTATTAAAATACCTCATTCACGGGGGACTTCTTCTTCTTAGAGTGCCGTCTCTTTACGGAGGTTGGCAATCATAATGGCTATTTTTATTTTAGAACTTGCTGCTCTAAACAAATCAATCGATCTGCATTAATACCAATCACGTAAATTCTTTAACCATGAGTTCTGCCTTCCGCCAACAGATCTTCCTTAAATCTTTCCCTGTATTATTAGTCTCAAAATTTCATATTTTGGTCCCCTCATCACGTAGCCTAGGTATTCCAGTTTTCTGGTTTGTATAGCGGGACTACATTTTCTTATTTTTTCGAGCACGTTTAACGGTAGCGTGTATCGAATCCTCTTCTAATTATGTATGTAATGGTTCCAAATATTTTAGATCTTGTATTTAAAGACTATCTATTTTAGCAACAGCATACATCATCGCAGTAACATACTTGCTGCGGTTTTGTCCACTGCAAGTATCTGAAAATAAGGAAAATGGGTAACAGTATTGGGTAAAAATTGCAAATATTTCAGCAAACAACTTTCAATTTCAACTGATTTTTTTTTTGCTTGGGTCTCGTCCCATAAACATAAATAACCATTTGCATTGGAAGCCTCAAAAATTATGAAATTGTAGACGAAAAGTTTAAGTCTGTAGAATATTTGACTATCACCAGCATATGGTACATTTAGTATTGATTGTAAGTCAAATGTAATTGACTCGAAATGTTACTTTTATTGTCGACGGCTTTCTGTTTTTCAGTTGCTTTCATTTTCATTCCATTTTTTTCTTTTGCTTTATGTGCCTTCCACTGACTTTGTAATTCTCTTTTATCTGTAACTCTATTATAAACGTTAACTGTTACACATTGATTTTTTGTCGGTTTATAAAATGACAAAGGTCACTCATAACCAATAAATACTGATTTAAATACATTGTACTTAACTGGGGGTACATTATTTTTGGGACAATATTCACTGCAGTATAAACGATAAATTACACTGATATTTAACTCACTTAAAATATAATGCCTCATAGTATAACGACGACAATAATGGAATGCTAATCGAAGCAATATCTCCATAGAAGTCTTAATATGACTAACCTGCTTAGCGGATGTTGCTTTTGGAGCTGGTCTTTCTTTGCGATGGTCACTATACTTCAATGCAGTTTCAACTACTTAAAAACTAAATGTAGCACAAAAATATTTTTGGCACACCCTTACACGTTCATTAGAGCCAGTCAGTAAATAATAATAATAACGGCTATGTTTTCTAGTTTTCTTTTCTCTCATTGCGATTTCGTTCTCTGTCAATGTGTTTCTCTTCGAGTAAAGAGCAAATAAACGTTTTTTGCTTTATTAAGTCAGTAAAATTCCAATATTCTTAGCAAATGATTATTTGTCTTATTCAAGGCATGTTAATGCTATATTTAACCCTACAGTTATCGTAATTAACAATACGTGGTAACTTACTCTTACTGTTACCCCTTTTTATGTTGGCATATTCTTTGCCAGCCACTCGTAATAAATTCACCTTATTTTGTTTTATAATTCTGGTTTGGCTGCTAGCCTGCATTTTCTTTCTCTTTGTGCTGAACCGTCTATGCTTAAAACTACATAAGAAAGTTTTTGACGATTTTCTGTATCATGTGTTGACGAAGGTGAACTACTACTATTTTGGTCAGACGGGAGGTAGTCACTTTCAATGTCGACAAATGGCTCGTCGACACTACATTCCTGATATTCGTCTTCTACGGGAAGGCCCCGGCACTGTGGCAAACGGTTAGTCGACACTACCCTCTGATATTGTCTTTTATGAAAAGGCCCTGCCACTGTATCTAAACAGACGTCGTCTTGATTTACATCTTTTAGTTCTGTAACAAAATTATTGCTATAGTTTTTAACATTCGTTACTATAATCTATCCAATCCAACATATTTTTAATCCAACTACTTACTAATTCTTGATATTTGAACTATTCGCTTTCCATGGTTGTCCATTTTATTTTTATGTTTCGAAACGAGTAGAATAGATTTAATAGAAAAAAAATCTTGGATCGAACACTACTCACAACTTTTGACTGAAAAAAGACCTCAATTCACGAACATCAGTACAACAACATATGAACTGTAATTCAGTGAAGACGATGAAATAACAATACAGGAGGTCGAAAATGCAATACGAACTCTAAAAAATCGGAAGTCATGGGGACCACAAGGTATACCAAATGAATTATTAAAACATAGCCCACAAGTATTACGGGAGTTACTGGCGTATGTCTTCACCTTATTCTATAATGGACACGACTTACCACCGGAGTGGACAAAAGCACATATTAACAACATCTACAAAAAAGGAGATAAAAAGAATTGTTCAAACTACAGGGGGTTAAGTGGCATAAATTCACTCTCAAGACTGTATGAAAATGTAAAAAAAATAAAATTAAAAAAAAATTACAGATGTAGAAGAACTAAATAGCTTTCTTGCATGCAGATCCTGCATGGACAGTATATTCTCTCTAAATCAAGTTATCGAGAACAGATTAGCCCACAACCTTTCAACTCATATAGTCTTTATAGATCTGACAAAGGCATACGATAGTGTACCACTTTCAATGCTTTGGGTAGCAATGGAAAACAAGGAATAAGAAAAAAATGTACAAGCAGTACAACAGCTCTACAAAAATATGACGGCAAACAATTAAAACTGGAAATAGATTAACTAGAGAAATTCCTATTAGTAACGGCCTAAAGCAAGGCTGCTGCATAGCACCTACACTCTTCAAAATACATCTAAATAAGGCACTCTTACTGTGGAGAAGAAAGTGCTGCAATATGGACATCCCCATCGGAGACGATATATTTGTACACGATAGACTTCGCTGACGATCAAGCCATTCTAGCTGAAGACGAGAGTGATATAAGCTACATGCTTAGAGTACACCAAATGGAACCTCACAATTAATATACAAAAAGCTGAGTACTTAGTTGTAGGAGAAAAACCAGAAAGCCTACAAATCGAAATGGGAACTATAAAACCAACAGACAAGTTTAAGTACTTGGGAGTCCAAATAACATCAAAAGCAGGAAGTAGCGAAGAAAAACATTCCAGGATTGGCCAAGCAAAATCAGCCACCTGACAGCTACACGGACTATTATGGAATAAAAAAATAACAAAAGAAAATACAAGAAGAATTTATAAAACAATAATAGAAAGTATTGGACCGTACGGCGCCGAACTCTGGGAAATAAACCAAAGAAACAAATCAAAAATTGGGGCCATGGAAATGAACTACTGGAGACGATGTTGCCAGCTCACTAGACTTGATAGGGTGAGAAACGAAGATATTCGGAAAAAAATGGAAATCGATCTAGAAATAATAGACATAATCGAAGCCAAAACACTTAACTGGTATGGACACCTTCAAAGAATGCAGGAAAACAGATGGCCAAAAAATAGAAAAATGGACTCCGTCAACTAGAAGAAAACGAGGTAGATCAAGACGATCCTGGAGAGACGATGTCGACGATGCAATGACCGCCAGAGATCTAACAACTGAAGATTGCTTCGACAGAAAACGCTGAAAATTAGGATGCGAGAAGCGGTGCCAGCTGTAGAAGACTCGCTTTTTATATATTATATATGTTTTAAACCCTACACGCCGGTTTAACAATTACTTATGTAACAGCTTAATTCGATACACACAATCACGCTAAGCGATCAACCCTAAACCTAGGAACATGTGTATACCAAACTAAGTATGGGATCCACATGTC